AAGCAAGTACATGAATAATAATGTTATTAATCGTCATGTATGTTGGATAGTAAAAGGATGGAAAAACGTTTCACATTAACAAATTGCCTGAAAATTAGAATGTCCCGATAATCATATAATTAATCTATGCCGTCAAGAGAAACATAACGATTATGCATAGAACTTACGTAAATAATGTAAGAATTTGTTATTTTTTCCATTTTAACAGTCATTTGAAAATGTAAAAATGTTGTCTCCTTTCTTTCTGTCTTTCCCTCTGATGTGTCTGTCCTATGTTTCAAGGATGTTATCTCTGTCGTGTAACTTATATTAGAACAGGTGAACCAGAGATTGGCTCTACTTATAAACCAGTATTTAAAGTAGTCTATTATCGTGGTATACGTTTTCATGCATCATCCAATCAAATCAGTATGTTCACTGCTCCATCAGATCCATCTTCCATTGTAACAGTGTTGAGTAAATCGCATCAATCACTTGTGGATATTAGTGTACTAGACAATAATACCGCGGATAATAATGCCGCCAACAATATTCAATCAGTTATGAAAACTGCAGCTTCTGGTACATTATTAGAAGGAACATATGAATGGTATGATCATGATTCTGTAAGTTGTTTTTTTCCTAATTACACATTTTTGAAACCATGAATCGATCAATGTTAGACCAACATTAGAAACCTGTGAGCACTAGACGGCCGTTTTGTCCTGGTGTGGCACTCATCCATGGTAGTGCGCATCCACCCGCAGGATTCGAACCCAGGTCCTTCGGTATTAGTGCACGAACGCCCTAACCGTTAGACCACTGAGCCGATATCCAACGGTGTTGTAAAATACAATTTTCATATTGTGACTCTAATTAAATTCGACGAAATTATTCAAGATTATCATCATCAGCATCATTTTTTCTCTTGACTAGTTAGTAGTTAATCCTTGGTTGATTGTTCTCTATCTGCTACAAATGGCTTTTTTCGCGCTATGCACAATCTAGTTAAGCTTTGACGAAGTGATTAGTCGATAATCGGTGGATGACCAGTTTATTTCATCTAGTCAAAAGATCAACACACTCATTGGAATGTGTGACTCTGGTTACTTCAGTTCTAATTGACTGATTGATTATACCGATTCAATAATAATTCGCAAACGACTGTATTTGTTATGCTCGTACTTTAGATATGCTTAAAACTGTTACGGATTCACCTTAGTCGAATTACGAGAAAAAAACAATGAATCAGCGTTCAGGTTGGGCTACTGTGATCCGATTGTCCGAATTGTACCAGCAAGAAGTCGTGATATAGCGTAGAAAGTGTATTTTACAAACACCCAGCCAGCACACAAATCGCGTTTATTTTTACGCCATAGAAACGTCCTTGGGACAGTCACAAAAATAGCACACTAAAATGACACATTAACCAATCACAGCCAAGGATTTTCCTGGTGGGAAATGTGATCTCAAGGTCAACTGATCGGTCCATGAAATCAATCAAAAATAAAGATATTTATCAAGCGAGTTCTGGGGATCTAACATTCCCAACAGTATTCTTATATTGCCTTATTTCTCGTAATTATATTAAGTTGAAACTATGAATCAGCATATTAAACCATGTGACATATGTAAAAAAAATGTTTATTTGATACACCTGACCTTATCTCTTAAGTTAAAATTGTTGATAGTTAAATTGGTTGATTAAGCTCTCAATTTTGTAGAGTACTTCATTATGTTGTATTCCCATGTGCACAAGTTGAATCGTGTGCTATACACATAAGTTGTATATAATCAGTTGACATGACCTATTTTATCAAGGTCAAATTGATGGAGTTAATTGAGGCAAGTCCAAACAAACAATACTACATGATAAAATAATCCCTTAAATATTTGTATTTTTAGTTTTTAAGATTAGGCTGGATCATACACATACATATACTACTTAATCATCAGTTGTTTCTTGTGTATTTACAGATTATATGCACTTTACATCAGCTTACTCGTAAAGAAAATCAACCTCCAACAAGAAAACGTCGCTGTTTAGGTCCTGTAATACCACAATTAACTGTTACCTTCACAATAGTAAGTCGGGATATTATTTTTTTTATCATGGTTGCAAGCACTGGACGGTCATTTCTCCCTAATATGGGACTCCTGCTTAGAAGTGCGGATCCACGACCCTGTGAGTCATAAGCGAACCTAGGGCCTTCGGTCTCCCATGCAAACGCTTAAACTTTAGATCATTGAGTAGGTATCCACTGGTGTTGATGTCTAACCTTAATCAATCCATGATGTTGCGCAACTATCGTCCGTTGCCTGTGTCCGATAACTGTCTCATACTTAACACGGATCCGAAGGCCAACTTAATATGTGTAAGAGATACAAACACTACTTAATGTTTTTTTAAGTAGATGAAATATACCCATTAATTACGAGACCATTGTAAGAGAAGCAGTTTCGTTCTCCAGCTCTCTACCTACTATATGGATGACCTTGGATCTAAAACCTAGTTTGATCAAAACACCTGTGTTCACAAGGTGTTCGGTTGTTTGGCTTCTTATAGAGCTATTTCTACCTCTTTTTAACCAAACCAAGAGAATTCTTCACTGTTTCTTGTTGTTTTGTCATACGACACAATTAATTTATCAAGTAGTCAGTTTTTTTAAGTCACTGCTTGATGATGGATCGATAATAGGTAGTTCGGATCGAAGTTGGTAAAACTTGGTGTAAATAGGCATAATGTAGGGTTAGCTAAAGTTCTTGATTCTTTTCGAAACGTTTTGTCATCTGTTGTGGTAGGTCTAGCTAGAGCTTGCTAACATTGGACATAGTTATTTTGAAGGACGTTATACATATCCAGTAAACCGTCTTGTCATTCAGTCACACTCCTCTCCATTGTATCCAGCTTAAGCCTTCTGTCTAAACTAAGATCTTCTACCTTATCAGAACCAGTATCACTATCATCATTATTGTCCTTATTTAAGTTTGAAGTATGAGACATAAGTGTATCAACAGGTATTTGCTATGTACAAAAAAAATTTGTCGCCTAATTTGGCTTTATTGCCAACAATTGATTTCGAATTTGACTTTGACAAGGAGTCCTTGTATTTTCAGCAATATCACTCGAACAGAATATGGAAAAGCTTCCGTTCAATATGCGTATACTTGTTTTAAAATGGTAGTATCCAAATGGAGGCCATTTAGGGTGAATAATAACTGTCGAAGTTCATTTACATACCCGAGTGCGCTTGCTCAGTCAAAATTCGAAACAAAATAGTTGAATAAAGAATGCTTCTATATAAAATTATTACCTAAACAAATATCTATCCTTTCGGGATAGATCATAAACTGTTTCTGCAAAAAGCAATGTTCAAAGTTGTTATACAATACACCGTTTCAAGTTTTGATAGTGTGCTTCACAGTCACTGACAAGTGGACTGAGTCTCATGTTGGTAGATGTAGGCTACCTACCTGGTTGGGGTCCGCGAGACGAAAGTCACCGATAGTTAGAGACCTTGAATGACATGGCTCAGAATGGTTTGCAATGGCGCAGGTGCATTAACTCTTTGTGTTCTCTCAAACTCTAACCTTCTGAATTCCTCATAATCTCTGTCTTTCTCTTTCTTACTTTATCTCACTGAATTATACTTCTCGAATCATATCTTCGCTTCCTAATCTTCTCCATTACTGCTAATACTTCTATTATCGCTATCACTCTTGGATTTAAACTGACAGTTGCGTCTATGTGCTGATGTGGTATGGCAACCTGAACTGATGTACTTATGTACGAAGTTCTGCGTTATATTTGTCTGTTTCTGTCTGTCACAGTTTTAAAAACATGCACAAATCCAGTCAATTCAAGCAACACAATTAAAAACGAGGAACGAATCAATGTGGCAGCCGCTATGTGATTCAAAAGAATCATAGAAATTCGGTAGAGAAAAGCAAGAAATATAAGAACTAAAAGCCAAAAATCAACAAAGTTTTGTACCACTGAAAGGATTAAAAAGTCATAAATTCACATTTAGCAGCAAAGTAACTAATTACAATCGGAAAGTGTGTGTTTGAAGGGATTTTCCCACGTGACACTCTCGAAAAGCATCTTATTAGACTAGTTATTCAATCGCTATTCGCTAACCAAAGGACGAGTCTGTTGCGCAACAGTTCGCTCCATCCTACTCTATATGGTTGCGAAACATGGTCAGTAAGAGTAGATATTCGTAGGTTACTGGTTTTCGAACGTAGGTATCTCTAAAGCATTGCTCGTGTAACGAGTAAGCAATGCTATCGTTAGGAAACTGGACCTAAGTAAGGATGGCAGGTCAATAGATGACGTAGTAAAACTTCATCAGTTGAGGTGGTCGGGGCATGTGTTACAAATGCCCAACCACCGACTGCCTCGTCGAGCTATGTTTTGCAGTGTAGGAGTAGGTTGGAATAAATCTATGGGCGGCCAAAACAAAACATGTCACTGACAACTGGATTGAGTGATGTCGCTAGGTGTCAACTACCTGGTTGGAGTCTGCGAGATAATAGTACCCGATGGTTAGAGACCTTGAACTACTGTGGTATTTGAATTGACAATAGCGTTTCTGTGTGCCAATGTGGTATAACAACTTGAACACTGATGTACGTAAGTACGTATGAAGTTCTACATTGTGTCTCACTGACTGACTGACTACAAAAAGTAATTACATTTACCTTTAATGCATATAATTTGTCTAAATGTAACAATATTTTTTTGTTTTTGGATTAATTATAGAAATTTAAAATTGGCAATAAAAAAGGTTGCCTTCATAATCGACTACTATGGGATTCGTATGTTATTCATACTTTTGATAAGTAAGTGAAAAAATATAATAATATAATTTCAATTTTTCTGTGCCTTTTTATCAAGTTTGCAATTGTATTTTGTCTTTTGTCTTTTCAAGACCAATAATTTAGGAGTTAGTTAAGTAGTCTACTTATTATTATTATTGTTAGCGAGAAAATTAGGACCAACAACATTTAGATAACTAACTAATAATCTGTTAGGGACGTTAGATCCCCAGAACTCACTTGATAAATGTCCTAATTTGGGGTTTTTTTATGTTCTCGCGCATAAACTTCTCAATGGACCTTGAGATTACGTTTCTCACCCGGAAAATCCTTGACTGTCATTCATTGATGAATTGTTTTAGTACGCTATTTTTGTGGCTGTCTCAAGGACGTTTCTGTCATGTATAAATAGGCTCGATTTGTGTGCTTGTTAACCTCCTATTTACTGGGTGCTTGTAGAATACACTTTCTACGCCCTATCAAGACAAACGGATCAGAATAGCCTATCGTGTCACTGCATCATTGATCTGCGCTCCGTTTACCGAGTAAGGTGAACTCGTAATAGTTTCAAGCTTAACTGTTGACTAGCATATCATAATCGTGCTAACAAGTCAAGTAGTCAAGTCACATATTCGACTTTAAGCCACACTGTGTGTGAGAGAGATAGAGAGGGAAGTAAGCTAACAATAATACTCAACTTCTCAAAACGAATTAGGCAGGCAGTCGGAATTTATACACATGCTATGGGAATTTTTCAAATTCACCCATCTCATTTAATGACCGTGGTGGTGGTGTTTGGTTCTCTGAGCTGGATGTTTTGGTTGTGGAGCTTTCATTGTTCTTCTAAAGAGCATCATCAGCACAAACTTCGAATGCTTCACTTCTATCTGAAGTTTGTGCTGATGATGTTGTTCAGAAGAACAGTGAAAGCTCCACAAACAGAACACCCAGCTCAGAGAACCAAACACCACCACCACAATCATCCACCTGAGCTACAAATCTTCTCCACCATATCTCATTTAATGACCATTAGAAATGTTATTTTCAAGGACTATAATATGCATATCATATCGCTGATCGAGTATTTGTACATATTATTATTCGCTAGCCAACTTAGACTTTCTCTTCCAGCCAGTTCGTTGAGGATTAGCGCGTATCACCTTGAAATATCTCGATCACACCGAGCATCGTAACAGTTAACTCCTTTATTTATTGGGGCAGAGTTTTGGAGGTTTGTGTTTTTACACATTTGAAATCATCAATCAATCATTTTTAGACAACCATTAGAAACCTAGAAGCACTGGACGGCCGTTTCTTCATGGTATGGGACTCATCAACAGTGCGCATCCACGACTCCTGCTCCTCGCAGGATTCGAACCCGGGACCTTTGGCATTGTAGGCGAATGCCTTACCATCGGACCACTGGGCCGGCATCCAACGGTGTTAATGTCTAACTCTGATTGATCTAGGGATTTTGCGCGACCTCACCAATTTGTCTTTGGTAGTTACTGCCTACACACCCGACAAGGTTGAACTCCATTGGTCACATCTTCTTAACTAGAACTGCGAGAATTTCCTCACGAAGCTAGTGACTAGTGAGCACTGTTACGATATATTTTGGGGCAGAGTTTTGGAGCGAGGTTTGTGTTTTTACACATTTGAAATCATCAATCAGTCCTTTCTTTTTTGTTCATTTTTTTTTCAAATCAGATCCAGTGAAAATGAAAGTACCACTGTGTTGGAATTAACAAATCAACATTTTCCTCCTTGTCGTTTTGTTCGTGTACGAAATTTCATCCCAGATATGACAGTGTCACCACTTTAAATATTTTGATTCATACATATCTTCACTGTTCTATATATATATATATATATATATATATATATATATACATATATTTATTTTTTTACGACATAACACTACGCCTTGAATATACAACACAGACGGTGTTTATTGTTTAAAAAAAACCTGTAACAATTTCTATTTTACTCTTGATTACTACTTACAATGTTTACTACGTATTGACTAACTTTATTTTTCAATACTACTGATTTAGTTGTTTATCATTATTTTTTCACTTGATAATTCATACACACACACACACACACACACTCAACGTACATGTGTGTGTGTGTGTGTATGAATGGCACACTGTTTTCTATTGTTCATTATACGGTGCGATATTCCACTTCGTTAGAACTATTCTCATCATCATCAACATCATCATCATCATTATTATGATCGGTTTCAAACCTTGTTTTGTGTTTCATTTCAATCTGCGTTATCTATCATCTTACATACATACAACAGATTTGTTTAAAAAAATAATATTCAGTCTACTATGAAAACGTTTGTGTGTTCAGTTGTTGTTGCTGTTGTTGTTATACAAACAAACTCGTGTGAATCATTCAAATAATTGCACCACAGTCTTTAATCCTAAATCCAAATTAGGATCAATCAATCGATTAGATTGAAAACTATGAAATTTCAAATTCCAAAAGTGTCTGTTACGCCTGCACGTAAACACGTCAACTTGATATACTTGAACTATTACGAGTTTACGTAAGTCCGTAAACGAAGGCGAGGATCCGGCGACACGACATGCTAATCAAATCCGATTACCCTAACCCCCATATTAAGTGAAAATAAGAAGACTTGAATTTGGAGTAGGACCTGTATTCTACAAACATCCAGAAAGTACGAGGTCCGATCCCAAAAGAGAATCAGGATCCCGGACTAGGGGTCCGGATCCTGGTCATAAAACGTTACAGATAATGCGTATTTATACATTTAGGTCGAATAAGATACAGCATCGAAGTCTGTGACATTGACAGTTAAGACGACCAATAGGAAACAACTTTTGAAGTGACATTGATAGTCAGGACAACAAACAACATTGGAGCATGTGACATTGATATCTAGGACGACCACAAAATTGACCAGTAGGAATTAACCAATAGGAATTGATCAATAATTCATTTAGGATATTGGATGAATATCTTAACATAGCGAGAAAATCCAATTGTCCAATCATAAGAATAATACTAATAATAATAGCCTCATTTGAACATAATAGTTGATCGTGATTTTCACATGGCCACAAATGCATAATAATAATAAATAAACTAATTTCCTTTAGTAGAAGAAGCATTGTCATGTGACTGTAGTGTGTGTGTGCGTAGGCCTTGTAAAAAAATGATCAATTTCTACTGGTTAAAAAATGTTCATACTCTCTGGTCAATACAGATACGTCTAAAAAAATATATTCCAGTATGAAATCTATTTGTAGACATCGGTTAGCAAGCAACAACGTAGAACTTTGTACGTACATGTATCATCAGTTCAAGTTGTCATACTATATTATCGCACAGAGATGCGATTGTCGATTCTAATCTCATTGTTGTGAAAGAGGTAGTAAAAGTATGAGCAGTAATCGGGAAGATTTGAGTTTGAAGATGTAATTCAAGGAGTATCGATCCAATAGAATAAAGTTGAGAAAAGAATTATGAAGGTCATGAGGAATTGAGATTAGTATTCCTGAGAACATAGAGAACGGATCCACCTGCGCCAGTACAAATGGTTTTGAGCCATGTCATTAAAGGTATGTGACTATATCGGTTACTATCATCTCGCGGACCCCAACCAGGTATCCTACATCTACCAACATGACTCAGTCCACTTGTCAGTGATCTCATGGACTTCTGCCATGTTTTGGTTTGGCCGCACCTATTGTAGACATAATGAGATTATTCATTCTAACTAGACGTCACCAATCATGTGAGTAGTTCTAAAACAAGCATAATAATGTTGAATATGAACCGTAATTCAAAGTCTTTGTTTCTGAACAAATCGGACAATTGCCAGTGGGACAAGCGGATAAGTTTCTGGTAGTTTCATTCTACATGGTCATCATCAACATTAGTCAACACATCTGTTACTTGTTATTCAGTGAGTCTACTGTATTCTTTATGTCATAACAATCAGAGTCCAGAACTGACAACAACATTAACGAACGACCGTATGACAACTTAGACAGTATTAAGAGTTTTCCACATCAGAATTTCAAAGGTCATTTACAGTGCTGGACAGTTATTTTTCAAAAATATCCGAATTCAATTACATTAAGCTTATACACTCACTGGGCCTACAATATGTATGTGGAAATCCAACCACCCCCCCCCATTGAATCTCTTTACTTCTTGTGCACTTTGTAATCTTGACTAAAATTTAACAACACAAGCATTCTAACTGATTGCTCATTTCTTCAATTACAACATTAAGAATCGAAAGTGAAATGTTTTATAAATAGGCGGACAGTTAATGCTTGTTAGTTTACTTTGCACACCTACTTAGCGTAAAAAAGAAAATTCAGTACCATTCAATAAGCTCACGTTATCATAAACACTGTTCGAAATCTCAAAATAACGAATTCTACACAAGTGAACAGGCTACTTAACTTAACCAGTATGAAGGTTATTGTTTTTAAACATTTGAAATCATCAATCAATCATTGTTAGACCACCACAATTAGAAATCTGGAAGCACTGGACGGCCGTTTCGTCCTTGTATGTGCGCAGTGGTCCAATGGTTAGGCGTTTGTGCACAATACTGAAGGTCACAGTTTCGAATCCTGCGAGGTGCAGGAGTCGTGGATGCGCACTGCCACTGATGAGTCCCATACTAGGACGAAATGGCCGTCCAATGCTTCCAGGTTTCTAATGGTGGTCTAACAATGATTGATTGATGATTTCAAATGAGTAGGAAGGTTGGCAAGAATTTGACAAAGGATATGTTTTTGTTACTCATGCACGTAAACACGTCAACTTGATATGCTCGAACTATCCCGAGTTTACCTGAGTCGGAAAACGAGAGCGAGGATCCGGCGACACGACATGCTACTCTAATCTGAACGTCCCAAACCACCATTGAGTAAAAGAAAAAGACTTGATATGAAGTAGAACATGTATTCTACAACCATCCAGAAAGTACGAGGTCCGAGTTGAGAAGAGAATCAAGATCCCGGACTAAGGGTCCGGTTCAGATAACGTTACAGGTAATGCGTATTTATACATTTAGGTTGACTAGGAAACAACGTTGAAGTCTGTGACCTTGATAGTTAGGACGATCATAATATTGAACAGTGGGCATTGCATAAAATATCCTAACAGTTTTACTTCACGCTTTTCCAATACCCTAACAAACATGATCATTCTCAGTCAGAAAAATGCATCAGCACACTAAAAAGAGCCAACCCAGCCCCCCCAAAAAGTATGATGACATATAAGTTTTTGCAAAAAAAAACATGAAATCAAATTTATTAGAAGCATACATAATCTAGTAGATTCCACAAATGTACATTCAAAACTTGCAACTTCCTTGGGCCCAATGCATTACAATATTTTTAATTCAATAGTGTAAAGATTTAATCAAATAGTTTTATTCTGAATTAGGCAACATTGGGATTTTTGAATCAGCACTCAACTGGTTTTTTTGTGACACCGACCAATTAGTCTCTCTCTATCTCTCCATAGAGTTTAATTGAATATAATTGAAACCGATCGGTTTTACACGGAACAAGAGTACAATTTTTTGTAAACTGATAAATCAATAGAAGTTTCGATAGGATTCATTGATCAATAATCAGTAAATATATCACCAGTGAACTTGTTGTTTATAGGGGAAATCAACAATCAGCTTTGTAAGGAGTTACATCTGTAGGATTAATCCATGGATTGGGATTGATGAAACTTGGTGGCGGATTGGCTGTTCGATCATAATAATCTATGTGAAAATGAAAAGAAACATTGTTGTACGTTGGAGTTGATTAATTTTTTATTAATATTCATAAATCTATACCTGCTTCTAGTGGCTTTTGTATGTGCTGACGATCGATTATTCTGTGGTGTGAGCTACTTATAAGTAGTATATGACGTGAGTGTCAACGTAATGTCTGGCAGCAGAAGATGGGGGAAGATCAAGAGAAAGGAAGAAGAGTGGGAACACAATGGGATTTGTATGAAACGCATGAATAGTGAGTGAAATGTCAGACAAAATGGATTGATGTTGTTTGCAACAGGAACAGTCCAGTTCGATATGATGGATTGATATTTTGCAAATTAACGATTTACGATATGGTTTTTCTATTTTACACCAATCAACTCTGTAATTTGAAGTAAATACAAATCGGTTGCCCTCACCTGTATTCTCCTTCACTACAATTCCTTAATAACAATGATTCGTCAGTGGATGTTGCCATTGCCTGTAGTGCCCAAATTATTCAGTGTACCAGAGAACACACCACCGCAAAAATCATGGTATCAAGTTTCAAAACAATTTTTCTAGAAAAAAACAGAACTGATTTGTTTCGCCACATGTCAATCTGTATGTCTTTTGGACAACTTTATTTCTCTGAAATTCTGTATCAGATTCTACAGTACTGCCTATACATTTTAAACTGGTGAGTAAATATGCATTATACCCTAAGATCCTTATTTAAAACGGTTACTACTGCTTATTTAAACAGTATTGTCTTCATATTTTATCAATGATTTTTAAAGTTTTATAATGAAGGAGAACACAGGTGAGGGCAACCGAAGTCTATTTTTCGCAAATTACTGAGTTAATTGGTAAAATGGGAAAACCATATCGTAAACCGTTAATTTGCAAATCTTCAATCAATCATCAATCGATTGTCTGATATTTCACTATTCATGCGTTTCATACAAATTCCATTGTGTTCCCACTCTTCTTCCTTTCTTGATCTTCTCCCATTTTCTGCTGCCAGACATTACGTTTTCACTCGTGTCATATACTACTTATAAGTAGCGCGCACCACAGTTTTTGTTCTATCTTGGATTATATTCATTGTTGAAATCACGAACTGATCTTTTAGCTAGTAGATCATCCATCATAAGAAATTTGGAAGTGCACTTTGTGAAAATTGCTCGGCTAGTAAAACACAAAGGCAGAATTGACTTTTCATTAGATTGTGAAATATTACTAGGATTTAACAATCATCTATTTCAATGCTCTTAAAAATAATCTACTTAGTCTTTAATTGGCCGGCCATATTTCTTAGTGTAACTAACAGCCTTGTGGCGATTTTTAGACGACGAGGCAGTCGTTGGTTGGGCATTTGTAAAACATGTCCCAACCACCTCAACTGATGAAGTTTCACTACTTCATTTACTGATCTGCCATCCTTATCTAGTACCCGTTTCTTAACAACTGCATTGCTTATTCGGTTGTCCCACGATACACGAGCAATGCTTCGGAGACACCTATGATCGAAAACCAGTAATGTACGATTATTTTCTACTCTGAATGGTCATGTTTCACAGCCATAAGGTAGGACAAAGCGAACTGCTGCGCAGTACACTTAACCCTTGGTTATCAGACGGATATCTCGCCTACGCCATAAGTGACGCAAGTTGGCAAAAGCCAACCGAGCCTTCTGTATCCACGCTGAGATTTCGTCAGTCACCAGGCCACCAACACTGGTGAAACTCTCAAGATAAGTGAAGCGGTCAACACGCACAATCACTTCACTCCGTATCACTAGTTCAGCTGGCGATGCAAGCCAATCTTGAATCAAAATTTTGCATTTCGAGGGGGAAGACCGCATCCCGAACATGCTTGCTTTGTTGCTTAGGGTGGTTCGAAGACTCAACATTTTGTTAGCGCCTTCACCAAACAGATCTATGTCATCAGCATACTCCAAGTCAACAAGCAGGTCTCCTGGTATAAGGTCCACCCCTCAAAAGTTAGGTCAAAATCAGACTGGTTTTCTCTAGTCTGCTCTTCACGAGCTCTTGTTAGGCGTTAATGTATTATCGAGGCCAATATTTTAGACACTATATTAGTTAAACTGATTTCTCAATGATTGCCACAAGAGAACTTTTGTCTTTTCTCGTAAATTGGGATAATAAGGGTTTGAGACCAGTGAGATGGGATTATGCCCAGCTCCAGGATTCTAACCGCTAAAACTGGTCCACCACCCTTAAATATTGCATAATTATTGATGGCTTTTACTTCTCGTTAATAGTCATTCAGTTGACTAGTGGTTTTCTCTGTTGAAATCTATTTAGTTTAGTGGTTGATATTAATATAAATATTACTCAATCCAGTAAATCTAAATTATTCATCACCTGACGTATATGTATGTAATGTAATGTAATGATCATCAGACATTGATGATTGGTAATCGAACTCAATAACTAAATGACTACTCACTCATGTACTTGGTTGGGCATTATTGATAAACTTTTTTTTTTCTGAGGTGAATTACCATACAATTTTTCCTAACAGGTGAGGAGGATAAATCAATCGAGAATTCTTCTGACTTACAACAATTATTAGTCACGATGAAATCAGTCAGTCAGCTAGTCAGTTGCAACGTAGAACTACGTACGTATGTACATAAGTTCATGTTGCCATACCACATTAGCACAGAGACGCTAATGACAAATCAAATCCCATAATGATAAAGATAGAATAGGTATTAATGGTAATGAAGAAAAATAGGGTTTGAAGATATTATTCAAGAAGTATAATTAAGTGAGATAAGGTTAGAAAGACTAAGGTAGAGGTGCTGACGAATCCAGAAGATTAGGATTTGAGAGAGCTCAAAGAATTGATGCACCTGCGCCATTGCAAACGATTTTGAGCCATATCGTTCAAGGTCTCTAACCATTGGTGACTCTCGTCTCGCGGACCCCGACCAGGTAGTCTACATATACCAACATGACTCAGTCCACTAGTCAATGACTTCATGGATTTGTCCCATGTTTTGGTCTGGCCGCCCCTAGCTTTCTTACAACCTAGTCCTACACCACAAAACATAGCTCGTCGAGGCAGTCGGTGGTTAGGCATTCGTAACACATGTCCCAACCACCTCAACTGATGAAGTTTCATCACTTCATCTATTGATCTGCCATCCTTACCTAGAACTCGTTTCCTAACGACAGCATTGCTTACTCGGTTGTCCCACGATATACGAGCAATGCATCTTAAACATCTATGATCGAATACTAATAACCTACGAACATCTTCTCCTCTTAACGGCCATGTTTCGCATCCATATAGGAGAACGGAACGAACTGCTGCGCAGTACACTCGTCCTTTGGTTAACGAACGGATATCACGCCTACGCCATAAGTGACGCAGGTTGGCAAAAGCTAATCGAGCTTTCAGTATCCGTGCTGAGATTTGGTCAGTCACCAGGCTATCAGCGCTGATGAGACTCCCCAGATAAGTGAAGCGATTAACACGCTCGACTACTTCACTCCCTCCCTATCATTAGTCACGATGAAATTGTTCAGGGTGAAAAACAAACCCAGCAACAACATTAATTTTTAAGAATAAATATATAAAACAAATCGGATTACAATTATTCACCTATAAGTTTTCCATCTGAATAGCCTTGTGAATAATAAGCAGTAGTCGACTTCTTACAACCGATCGATTTTAACCAATTAGCATAAGCTGCTATTGAAGCGTCTTTACGAGTTTGACTAGCCAGTTGTTGATTGAATTCAATTAATTTTATATAATTGATTTTTCTATTCTTTTCTTCTGTCTTTTTTTTACACCATTCTTTATATTTTAATTTAGATTTCTGTGACTAAATGAACAATAAAAACAAATGGAAAAAATATCAAGTAATTCCAATATACTACTTAAAATATATTCATCAGTAGGCTGTGTGTTAATCAATTCAATTTTTTTGAAATAGTCGTAAAGATTGTCAGTAAAAGGGTTGTGGAAACTGTTGTTGAGTTTCATTGAAATTATCAAACAAGATTTGAAAGTACTGGACAACTGTTTTTGTTCAAGTATGTGGCCTTTTAGCAATGTGTGCATCCACACTATAATTTCATCAGTAAAATAAGACCCAATACTTCTGTTAGGATATTCATGAAATATCCTAAGAGAACTATTTTTGGAAGTCTAATTCTATTGGTCAATTCCTGTTGGCCAATATTATGGTCATCTTAAATGTCAATTTCACAGACTTCATTGTTATGCTCGTCAATTGATATGCTTCAATGCTATTACGAGTTCACCCTAGTCGGTAAACGAGAGTGAAGACAAATGACCCAGTGACATGATAGGCTATTCTACTCTGAGCGTCCCAAGGCCCTACTAAGTAGGGGAAGAAGTCTTGAGTTGGCGTAGAAAGTGTATTCTACAAGCACTCAGAAAATACGAGGTTGACAGGCACACAAATTGAGTTTATTTATACATGGGAGTGCCACAAAAATCGCATACTAAAACACTACATCAACCAATGACAGTCAAGGATTTTCCGGGTGGGAAATGCAATCACAAGGTCAAAAAAGCCGCTGATGCGCGATAACATAAAATATTCAAATTTAGGACCTTTCTCAAGTGATTTCTGAGGATCTAACGTCCTCAACAATCATCAAACTCTTAATTTCCAAACCACTCAACCAGAATCCAAAAATTTTCATGTTTTACTTCAAAATCAATTTTCAAATATTGTGTGTAACCATTTACTGCCAATTAACAATCGCTGTTTCATATTCGACACGACTACACTTCATAAGAGATATTTATATATTCTCTCATTAGAGAGAACTCTAGGCATTTCCTACTCAAAACTGATAGTTATTGTTTGTCTAATTCAAATCCGATCAATGATATAAACTGTGAAAGTCAATAATCTTCGTTACACACTTTGTAATAAGCATTCCTCTAAATAAATTACAGCAAACGTTTTTATGCTACTGTCATATCGATTTACAGAGCATGTATTAGTTATCAGAACAAACTGAAGTTAGAATAGGAGTTATTGCAGACCAAGTTGAACACTGTTCAGTTTATGCTCATTAGTTTACTAATAATAATAATAATAAAATCCCACAAGTCCCTTATTTTAATATGTTCTCAATAGTTGAATAAGTTGAGTTTTCTTCATTTGGCAAAGAAGGCATAGAGGCGTCAAAAGCTTACGCGTTATGTAATATATTCACAAATCATAACAGGCGAAAATCGTTGACCAAGGCAATCATTTGTAGCACTCATGATTTTTCGAAATCCATACGTATGTTAAGACTATGGGAGAGTAAAAGACTGAATATAACTCTTCTGTATAGAGGAATCGGCTTGGAAATGATCAATAGATGTGCACAAATTGTTTGTCTTTACGTTTTTCAGCCGCTTCTTCTTACCTCATAGAGCATCTTCAAACATGAATCGCGCGACCCACTGCGACCGAATATTCAACAACTGAGCTTCTGACTGATTTACATTCTCTTTCACATAACCATGCACAATAGTGCTCGGATATTCCTGTACCAAATGCACACTTTGTACGCTCAATGTAATTTGATTCATAACAGTAAGTAAACTGATTAAAAATATACTAACGTCTTTTTACTTTGAACCTTCTCTCTTCCATCTAACCTTGTTGCCGGAATATAATCTATTTGCTGTTCAACCGTGTACAGATTTAGGAGAACTTATCGAATCAATTGGTGCCCGAGAATACTGAGCGTTAGTAGGAATAGCTGGGTTGTAATAAAGAGAGAATTACAACAAATACACAACACATTGTTGTGACTCAAAGCAGAAGTCTATCCTTGAAACTACACTCAAGCGGTTTCTTTCTGGATAAACAGATCGTAGCTCTGGAACTCCAAACAACTTTCAACCAAAATCAGGATTTTCAATACAAATGTCAAGACAGTTCTACTGTACGGAGCAGAAACTTGGAGAACTACCAAAGCCATCATCCACAAGATACAAGTGTTCACTAACAGTTGTCTAAGTAAAATACTTCAGATCCATTGGCCAGACACCATCAGCAACAGTCTACTGCAGGAGAGAACAAACCAGATTCCAGTGGAGGAGGAAATCAGGAAGATGTGGTGGAAGTGGATAGGACACATACTGCGGAAAGCACCCAACTGAGTCACAAGACAAGCCCTCACTTGGAACCCTCAAGGCAACAGGAAAAGAGGAAGGCCAGGGAACACATTACGCCGAGAAATAGAGAAAGATATGGGAAGAATGAACAAAAATTGAACAGAACTGGAAATGGAAGCCCAGGACAGAGTTGGTTGGAGAAAACTGATGGGGGTAACAGGCGTAAGTAAGTAAAGTAAGTAAGCTCTACTGAATGAAACATCTTCCTTAGGCATCTGCATAGTCTATTTCTTAGTATCTCGACTACCGTATCCGCCCTTCAATTCAACGTTCAAGAATAAAACTTTCTTTTTGAACATTTGCAATATTTTCAATCTGACGTTTACATTTTACAAATTCATAAATATACATGTGCACATGTCACAAAAGTAGAATAATTCAAATTGACAAGATAAGAAATATTATTCCCATGTTCAATATTTCAATTGTATTCATCAATAATTGTTATTTTAAAAACCACACACAAAACCAATTTACTGATCACACTTACACGTTCATTGAATTCTTTCAATTTTTTCGCTTCCTTATTTTTTCTCTCTAATTCTTGACGTCGTTTCAATTGTATTCTCTCTTTTTGTTTTCGTTCAATCCATTCTTTACATTTACGTTCAGCAATTTTTTCAAGTTGTTTTTCATGAGCTAATAATTCATTCATCTCTTTCATTGCTTTATTCTGTACGAAAAAAATTAACAATTAAAAATTCATTATTGGTTGACTGATCAATGCATGCAATACAATACAATACAATCAACAATTATGTTCAATGGCTAAATATACTCAACTGTTAGCATATTTATCAAATATCCTAAAGAAATTATTTTTTTTGAGTCTAATTCTATTGGTCAATTCCTATTGGTCAATATTTAAGGTCGTCTTCTTAAACTATCAACTTCACATACTTTTAAATGTTGTTTCCTATTGGTTAGTATTCATGGTCGTTGACCTAACTGTATAAATATGCATTGTCTGTAAAGTTTTATGCTCCTCTTCTTCTCCTTCTGTACAAAACCTCTTATCTTCTGGGTGCTTGCAAAATACACTTTCTACGCCATATCAAAACTTTTTGATACCATTGGTGGGGGCTTGGGATGCTCAAATTACAGTAACCTTCCGTGTCACTGGACCACTTGTTTTAGCTTTCAGTCAGTCAGTCAGTCAGTTGCAACGTAGAATTTCGGACCTATATACATAAGTTCATGTTGCCATACCACATTAGCACACAGAAACGCAAATGTCAAATCAAATCCCATAGTGATAAAGATAGTAGAGGTATTAATAATGCTAATGAAGAAGACTAGGGTTCGAAGATATTATTCAAGTAAAACTCAGTGCGATAAGGTTAGAAAGACAAAGGTAGAGGTGCTGACGAATACAGAAGATTAGGATTTGAGAGAGCTCAACGAATGGATGCACTTGCGCCATTGCAAACGATTTTGAGCCATGTCGTTCAAGGTCTTTAACCATAGATTACTTTCGTCTCGCGCACCCCAACCAGGTGGTAGCCTACACCTGCCAACATCACTCAGTCCACTTGTCAGTGACTTCATGGATTTGTGCCATGTTTTGGTCTGGCCGCCCCTAGCATTCTTCCAACCTACCCCTATATTGCAAAACATAGCACGTCGAGGCAGTCGGTGGTAAGCCATACGTAACACATGTCCCAACCACCTCAACTGATGAAGTTTCACCACTTCATCTATTGATCTGCCATCCTTACCTAGTACTCGTTTCCTAACGACAGCATTAGTTTTAGCTTTGGTTAACCGACTAAGGTGAATTCGTAATAGTTCAAGCATATCAATTGACAAGCATAACATCAACCTAATAGGATTAGTAACATTTTAGTTCAAGGAGAGAAAATACTATTCGTTAGAAAATGGAGCCGCAACAGAACGACTAATATAGCATATACATTTCGTTTTGTTAAGGAAAACAGAGATTAGAAGTGTACTAGACCCTGTGAATCGATCACATCTTCTTCATAATTAAATTTCTTAATCAGTAATGATCAGTTACTCGCGTAACACAATGGTTGGACATTGGTTTTGTTTTTATTTGAAATATATTTCATCTATTCTGAATGTCGGAAACATTGACACAGTATGGTTTTGGTTTTTTCTTGGGTTTTTTTCAATGACATACCTTTTAACACATTCCATCACAGGTAAGAACTACTACTGCTACTACTACTAATTTGTGGATTTCAACTGCCTGATGATGTGCTTTTTTCATAGATATCTTGCAGTTTCTGCAATCAAAGTTATTTTTCGTTTAAGTTAACTGACTATCATCAATGTTGATCAATCAGTCAGTCAGTCAGTCGGCTACAACGTAGAATGTGGTACGCATGTACATCAGTTGAAGTTGCCATACGACATTACCGCAGAGATATAGAATTGTCTATTCAAATCACTTAGTAGTAGAGGCAGTAGAAGTGTGGTGCGCGCTACTTATAAGTAGTATATGACGCAATTGAAAACGTAATGTCTGGCAGCAGAAGATGGGGGAAGATCAACAAGAAAGGAAGAGTGGGAACACAATGGAATTTGTATGAAACGCATGAATAGTGAAATGTCAGACAATGGATTGATGATGGATTGAAGATTTGCAAATTAACCGTTTACAATATGGTTTTCCTATTTTACTGAGTAACTCTGTAATTCTCGCTATATACAATTCGGTTGCCTCCACATGTGTTCTCCTTCACTACAGAAGTATTAGCGGTAATGTAGAAGATATTAGGCGTCAATGAAATTATTCAAAAAGTATAAAATCCAATGAAATGATGAATTTAAAAAGAGAAAGATAAAAGTGATGAGGGGTTCAAAAGATTAGAATCTGAGAGAAGATAAAGAATGAATGCATTTGCGCCGTTGCAAACAATTTTGAGCGATATTATTCAAAGTCTCTTACCATCGGTTACAATTGCTGCCGCACTCCAACCAAGCAGTATTATTGTGGCTCAGTCCACTTGTCAGTGACTTCATGATTTTTTGCCACTTTTTGGTCTGACCGCCCTTAGCTTTCTTCAAACCTATCCTTATACCACAAAACAGCTTGACGAAGCAGTCGGTGGTTAGGCATACGCAATACACGTGTCTCACTCACCCCAACTGATGAAGTTTCATCTATTGATCTGCCATCGTCAGTGGTAATAATTATCTTGATACCAAAAATAATGTGTATTAGCAGGACATAGATTGAATTAAAGCATATTTCATACACGATTTTCTTGCACGCTGATTGGCTTTTTCCTTATCCAATCAGCGCTAATCTCCACTAAAGGAACATTCTAGAATCTTTTCCTGTAAAAAACACCCATCAATTTACTAACGTTTTCAACTTCTCAGTTCCCACTAACTTTATTATTGGAATTGTTACGACTGCACGTAAACAGGTCAACTTGATATACTTGAATTATTACGAGTTTATCTAGTCGGAAAACGAGAGCGAGGATCGAGGATCCGGTGACACGACATGCTACTCAAATCCGATTATCCCAACCCATATATTGAGTAAAAGAAGACAAGACATGATATGAAGTAGAACCTGTATTTTACAAGCATCCAGAAAGTACGAGGTCCGAGTCCAGAAGAGAATCAGGATCCCAGACTAGGGATCCGGGACCGGGTCCTGGTCATAAAACGTTACAGATAATGCGCATTTATACATTTTGGTCGAATAGGAAACAGCATCGTAGTCTGTGACATTGACAGTTAAGGCGACCAATAGGAAGCTACATTTGAAATGACAATGACAGTCAGGTTGATCAACAAGAACCAACATTGTAGTACGTGACATTGATATCTAGGACGACCATAAAATTGACCAGTAGGAATTAACCTGTAGTGCCTCCACGTATATTCGAGTTCGCTTACATTTAATTTGATTAAGCCCTTTCGATTAATTTATTTAACCAAGCCATTTGTATAACAACAATAACTTATATGTACCATTGGCTTTTATTATTGTGTGGTTTGTATGAGCTGGTATGACTGAGCATTGCTTAACGCCTACGCGGATATGCATCCTATTCGCTTTAATATTGATCTCTTAAATAATATCACGATGACTCAAACATTCTCCTTTGGATCTGTACGAACATTTTAATCTAGTTAAGTCACTCGCCCATTCGCACATTCACTCGCTAGTGTGCCTGCCCGGTCTACTTGTGGTCTGCTATCTCTATTTGTGGTTTACCTTCTGATTTATAACCGTCAGACGCCATTTAGTAACGATTGTTTGAAGGAGCTAATTACAAAGACTAAGAACACGTAGAAATTGGTCGCCACAACAAACCAATAGGAATTGACCAATAATAATTCTCTTAGGATATTTTGAATGAATATCCCCTAACAGGAATATAATCTCTTTCCTCCTGTTCAACTGTGTTCTAACTTTGACAGATTGTCTCGAGTGAATTTAGTGTCTGAAAGAATACTACTAATAAGCATTAGTAGGAGTGTGGTGCGAGCTACTTATAAGTAGTATATGACGTGAGTGAAAACGTAATCTCTGGCAGAAGAGAAGATGGGGGAAGATCAAGAAAGAAAGGAAGAGTTAGAAGAACACAATGGAATTTGTATGTGAAACGCATGAACAAGTGAAATGTCAGACAATGGATTGATGATGGATTGAAGATTTGCAAATTAACCGTTTACGATATGGTTTTCCTATTTTACTGAGTAACTCTGTAATTTTCGTTAAATACAATTCGGTTGTCCTCACCTGTGTTCTCGTTCACTACAGGAGGAATTAGTTAGGATGAGATAAATAGAGAATTATGTAACAATATGCAATGCAACTATTTTTTCTACCTGTTTCTCTTTTAATTCTTTCTTTTGTTTTCGTTTTTGACGTTCTTTCTCTAATAACCAACATTCCCATGGGCATAATTGATTCTGAGCATTTTTTTTCGAAGTTTTAACATTTGTCAATGCAATAATATCATTATCAGTAGTATGTCTCTTATTTGTATCATTATTATTATTATTAGTATTATTATTCATCGGTTTAATCAATAACCAATCACCAACAGTTTCACTAATTAAACATTCAGTTATATCATATAAATCTGAAATAAGTGAACTTTCACCTCCACCTCCTCCGCCACCGCCACCGCCACCGCCACCGCCACCTCCACCACGATGATGACGATGATGACGACGCGATGATGATGATGATAATGATGAGGATGGGGATCGTGATGATGATAATGAAGATGATAAACGATTCTGTGGTTGCTTATTATGATTATTAGTAGTATGTTGTTTGCTTGATATTTTTCTTGGTAAATTGTCAATAAAATAATAACCTGAGCCTTTGTTTCGTTTTGTTAGGTTGCTGCAAAGAAAACAATAAGTTCAGGTATTATTTTTTTTACAAAAATATATAGTTGATTAGCTTGTAAAATAAACATAAATGACATTCAGTACAATAATAATAATAATAATAATAATAATAATAGTGTTGTTAGGATATTCACCAAATATCCTAAGAATACTATTTTTAGAAGTACAATCCTATTGGCCGAAATTATGATCGTTCTAACCGTCAAGGTCAAATACTCCAATGTTGCTTTTTATTGGTCATCTAGACTGTCAATGTCATTCAAATGTTCTTTTCTATTGGTCGGCCTAAACTGTCAATGTCACAGACGTTGATGCTCCTTCTTATTCGACCTTAGTGTATAAATACGCACTATCTGAAAGACTTAATAATTCCCTTTCCCCTGCCTGCTTCTTCTTCTGTATTCGACCCAATAAACAACTTCCTTCCACGGTGTTGCGTTCTGATATCTAAGAGATTTGGAAATAGCATTTTGGGTCGTATTGGGATATTTGAATTGGACGCCGTTAGGACTGAAGAGCTATACGTAGCAGCGTTACAACAAGTGTATACATTTCTGAAATTTTTATTCCAAACTTAGTAGTTTGTGGAGACCAACGAAATCAGTCATCAAGTATTTATTAACAGTTGTCTACGCAAAATACTTCGGATCCCTTGGGCAGACACGATCAGAAACAATCTACTATGGGAAAGAACAAACGCGATTCCAGTGAAGGAGGAAATCAGGAAGAATTAGTGGAAGTGGATAGGACACATACTGCGGAAAGCATCCAACTGCGTCACAAGACAAGCTGTCACATGGAACCCTCAAGATCAAAGGAAAAGAGGAAGTCCAGGGAACACATTACGCCAAGAAATAGAGAAAGATATAAGGGGAATGAAAAAACATTGGACAGAACTGGAAAGGAAGGCAGACGACACAGTAGCTTGAAGAATACTGATAGGCAGCCTATGCTCCATTGGGGGTGACAGGTGCAAGAAAGTAAGTACTTAGTTCAAACAACTACAATTATCCTGTAGTTAGATAAACCGAAGGAGGAGATTAACGACTTTTCTATTCTTTAGATAGTCTATACTTATGAAAGTACTCATAAACGTTTGTCCGAAATAAAATCAGTCAGTCAGTTACAATGTAGAACCTCGTACGTATGTATGTACATCATTGTTCAAGCTACCATACCAAATTAGCACAGAGACGCAATAATCAATTCAAATCCCATTGCAGTAGAGGTACGAAAAGCATTAGCAGTAATCAAAAAGTTTATTGATCGAATATGTCATTCGAGATGTACACCCCAGAGGAATCAATCGAAGAAGATTAGGATTTGAGAGAACAAAGAATGGATGCAACTACAAGCACCTAGAAAATCGAGGTATTGTACAGAAGAAGAAGAAGAGGAGCATAAAATTTTACAGACAATGCATTTTTATACAGTTAGGTCGACGACCGTGAATACTAACCAATAGGAATGAACATTTAAAAGTATGTGAAGTTGATAGTTTACAACGACCTTAAATATTGACCAATAGGAATCAACCAATAGAATTAGACTTACAAAATAATTTCTTCAGGATATTTGATGAATATGCTAACAAATTTAACTGTATCATGAAAAATAACCTGTAGAGTAATCCAGACTTATATACATATATCTGGAATTTATCAGCTAGACATAAATCTATTCTATAATGTGTGATAGCATTCTATAAATAAGGCATGAACAGCTTCTTGAGATACACAACTATATACATAGATAGCTTTTTTACAAAAGTACTTTGCTAAAACAACTCGTAAGTGTTTTATAGCTAGTTATTTCATAAGCATTAACTAACAATGCATAGTAAAACTGGAAAGATCTAATCCCCAATTTGGTAAGTGTGATTGATACGATATCCAAAAATATATCACAAATTATGAAAACATAACTGAATAACCAATTTTTCGAGTTAAAATAATCAAGTTACTTTGAATCAATAATGGAGTGAAAAGCTTGAACATAAATAATAATAACAATATATGTTTCAACTAACTTGATTTGTAATTTTTCAGATTTCAACGAACCAGCAGAGCATCGTGATTCATGTGGCATAGAAGCGAAATCACGACTACTATCATTCTACACAGGAGAGGAAGAGTAAACAAACAGTCAATACATATGTGAAACATACTAGAGGTATATCAGAAAAATTTCATGTTCAAAACACACAAAACTTATCTATTTACAGAATTATTATAACAGTAATTCTGACTGTTGGGGAGGTTAGACCCCCAGAACTCACTTGAGAAAGGTCCTAATTTTGGGTATTTTATGTTATCGCGCATCAGCTGCTTAGTTGACCTTGAAATTACATTTCCCACTCGGGAAAATCCTTGATTGTCATTGGTTGATGTATTATTTTAGTACGCTATTTGTGTAGCCCTCCCAAGGACGTTTCTATGATGTATAAATAAACTCGATTTGTGTGCTTGGCACACCTCATATTTTCTATGAGCTTTTAGAATACACTTTCTACTCCTTATCAAGACTCCTTCCTCTACTTAGTGGGGCCTTGGGAGGCACGTATTAGAATAGCCTATCATGTTACTGGATCATTTGTCTTCGCTCTCGTTTATCGACTAAGGTGAACTCGTAATAGCATTCAAGCATATCAACTGGTGATGAGCATAACAACCAATTAAACCAACCATTATTTATAGTACTAAGATATTTTAGTTTTATTGGTGATTCGAATCTCCTCACTGATATCTAAGCCCGCCATTAATCAGTATCAATCGGAATATATACATACTGTGCAGAAATACCTCAATACTACCTCTAATTCAGAAGCATTTCTAACACAGATGGATAGTAGTTACTAATGGAATTGATATGATTCCACATCATTTGGCAAAGAAGGCAAAGAGGCGTCAAAAGCTTACGTTATGTAATATATTCACAAGTATTAACAGGCGTCAGTCAATCAGTCAGTTGCAACGTACAACTTCCTACGTATGTACATAAGTTCATGTTGCTATACCACATTAGCACAGAGACGCAAATGTCAAATCAAATCCCATAGTGATAAAGATAGTAGAGGTATTAATGGTAATGAAGAAGACTAGGGTTTGAAGATATTATTCAAGAAGTATAATTCAGTGAGATAAGGTTAGAAAGACAAAGGTAGGTGTGCTGACGAATCCAGAAGATTAGGATTTGAGAGAGCTCAAAGAATTGATGCACCTGCGCCATTGCAAACGATTTTGAGCCATGTCGTTCAAGGTCTCTAACCATTGGTGACTCTCGTCTCGCGGACCCCAACCGGGTAGCCTACATCTACCAACATGACTCAGTCCACTAGTCAGTGACTTCATGGATTTGTGCCATATTTTGGTCTAGCCGCCCCTAACTTTCTTCCAACCTACTCCTACACCACAAAACGTAGCTCGTCGAGGCAGTCGGTGGTTGGGCATTCGTAGCACATGTCCCAACCACCTCAACTGATGAAGTTTCAATGCTTCATCTATTGATCTGCCATCGTTACCTAGCACCCGTTTCCTGACGACAGCATTGCTTACTCGGTTGTCCCGCGATATACGAGCAATGCTTCTAAGACATCTATGATCGAATACTAGTAACCTACGAACATCTACTCTTAATGGCCATGTTTCGCATCCATATAGGAGAACGGAGCGAACTGCTGCGCAGTACACCCGTCCTTTGGTTAGCGAACGGATATCTGACTTACTCCATAAACGGCGAAAATCTATCGAATAAAAATTAAAAATTATTGTTTTCTGCGTAAACGAGGTGGTGACCGAGGCAGTCATTTGTAGCACTCATAAATTTTCGAAATCCATACGGCTTGTTATGACTATAGGAGTGTAAACAACTGAACATAACTTCTCTGTACAGAGAGCGATCAGGTTTGAAATGATCAACTGATGTGCACAAATTCTTCATCTAAACCTTTTTTCAGCCGCTTCTTCTTACCTTATAGACCATCTTCAAAGATGAGTCACGTGGTTGGTTGTGACTTCATTTGACCGAATATTCAACAACTGAGTTGCTGACTGATTTCCATTCTCTTTCAAATAGCCATGCATGATAGTTGATATGCTTGTCAACTGTTATGCTTGAAACTATTGCGAGTTCACCTTACTCGGTAACGAGAGCTAAGACAAATGATACAGTGACACGATAGACTGTTCTAATCCGTTGTTCCCTACCCGGCTAATTATATCAAGAAGTCTTGATATGGAGCAAAAGGTGTGTTCTAAAAGCACCCAGAAAATACGAGGTCAACAAGCACACAAATCGAACTAATTTATACATGATAGAAACATCCTTGGGAGAGCCGCAAAAATAGCTGAATAAAATAATGCACCAAGCAATGAAAGTCAAGGATTTTCCGAGTGCGAAATGTAACCTCAAGGTCAACTGAGCAGTTTATGCGCGAAAACACGAAATATTCAAAATTAGGACCTTTTCCAAGTGAATTCTGTGGATCTTACGTCCCTAAAAATAGTGCTCGGATATTCGTCTACCAAATGCACACTTTGTACGCTCAATGTAACTTGATCCACAACAGTAAGTAAACTCATTAATGCACAACACCTTAATGTGACTCAGAGCAGAAGGATACCCTTGACATCCCACTCAAGCGGTTTCTTGCTGGAGAAAATATTTCGTAGCTCTACTGAATAAAACATCTTCCTTAAGCATCAGTCAGTCAGTCAGTAAGATGCAACGTAGAAATTCGTACGTATGTACATCAGTTCATGTTGCCATACCACATCAGCACAGAGATATAATTGTCAATTCAAATCCAATAGTAGAAGAGGTAGTAAAGGTATTAGAAGTAATCAGAGAGGTTAGGTGAAATCAGATTAATAATTTTACTAGGATCCTGTATGCGCGTTTCCGAGAGACAGCATACATCGATGGCACGAGTTTCTAAAGTCCTAGCTAATGATGCCTGTTTCCCTATTCGACACAATGTCCGTACATTAAAAGCTCCAACATGTAGTCTAGAACGGGGTTTCAAGAGACCAGGAATGACGTTTCGTGAACTCGCTTCGTCTGCATTAGCGGTGCAGTAAGAAAAGGGCTGTGAGTAGAGTTCGTTGTGGAGAGAAGCGAGGTGTGTGTAAGTGTATGAAGGATTTGATTTCGACCAATTTGGTCTCGTGTGCTGTTACGGGTATGAGGGCGGCTGTCACTTCCCGGCTGACCACACCATGGAAGGTTGTTTCTTGAGGAACCTGAAAAGGAAGATAGATTAGTGTTGGTCTTAGAGACCTGGGAGCGTGACCGCAGAGTCCAAGGGACAACTGCTTGAGGCCGGTCACGCACGGTCTTTTCATGAAAGGATATCTGAGTGTTAGCTCCGCTCTTAAAAGCCCTTAGTTGGGCACCCTTACCTCCGGAGACCGAAATCCGTGAGGTAGGGTGAGGTGTGACATTTTTAGGGTCGACCTTTTCTAACCCTTCCTTCCTTGTGAGAAGGCAGCATCGCTGCAGATGCTGGTTGTCCGAGGGAAACACACCTTACTGCTGTCACACCCCTCTTCAGTCATCAGTAAGACTTCGCCCTCAGACCCTGAGTAGCTCTCTTTTTTAGTCTCATCGCTCTCCAATCGAGCTGCCTGGCATGGTAGAACCTCCAGGAACCTATGTTCCAGCCAGTATAGCTCGGTTGGGTCATCACAACAGGCAAGCCCGACCACCACGTCAAGGTAGCCGCTACAGTCGGGTTCCTTAAGCATCTGTATAGTCTATTCTTCAGTATCTCGACTACCGTATCCCCCCTTCAATTCAACGTTCAAGAATAAAACTTTCTTTTTGAACATTTGCAATATTTTCAATCTGACGTTTATATTTTACAAACTCATTAATATATATGCATACATGTCACAAAATGTAGAATAATTCAAATTGACTAGATAAGAAATATTATTCTCACGTTCAATATTTCAATCATATTCATCAATAATTGTTTTTTTTTAAAAAACAACACACACGCACACACACAAAAAAAAAGATGGCAAATCTTATTTACTTATTGATCACACTTACACGTTCTTCATTGAATTCTTCTTTCAATTTATTCGCCTCCTTAATTTTTTTTCTCTCTAATTCTTGACCTCGTCGTTGTTGTTGTTTCTTCAGTTGTATTCTCCTCTCCGTTTGTTTAAATTTACGTTCAGTAATAATATTTTGTTCAATGCCAGTTTTTGCTAACCATTCATTCAACTGTTCAATTTCATCATTCTTCTTTTTTAGAAAAAATGTTAACATTTGACGACAATTCATCATATTTGCATTACAGGGTTGTGAAGATTGTTAAGTTACACATTTTTGAAAACATGAATCGATCAATGTTATTAGACCATCATTAGAGAAACCTGGAAGCACTGAATGGCCGTTTCGTCCCGGTATGGGACTCTTCAGCAGTGCGCATCCAGGTCCTGGGTTCGAATCCTGCGGGGTGCAGGAGCCGTGGATGCGCACTGCTGAAGAGTCCCATACTAGGACGAAACAGCCGTCCAGTGCTTCCAGGTTTCTAATGGTGGCAGTCTAACATTAATCGATTCATGGTTTCAAAAATTCATCATATTTGTTGTGAATACATACAATACAATACCATACAATACAATTAACAATTATGTTCAACATATTCTAGTTGAAGGAGAGAAAATACTATTCGCTGGAAAATGGGCCCCGTAGCAGAACGATGTTAGGTTATTCATCAAATATCTCTTAAGAGTAATTATTCTATGTAAGTCCAACGCTTACTGGTCAATATTGTGGTCGTCCTAACACTATCATTGTCACATACTGTAAATGTTGTTTTACTATTCGACCTAACTGTATAAATATTGCATTTTCTGTAACGTCTGATAATCCGGATCCTTAATCCGGTATCCTTATTTTTCTTCTGGACTCAGACTTCATATATTTCCTGGATGTTTGTGGAATACACTTTCTACTTCATTTCAAGACTTCTTCTTCTTCTACTAAATGGGGGTGGTTCTCAAAGCTCGGATTAGAGTAGCCTAATCGTGTTGCCGAATCATTGACCCTCGCTCTTGTTTACCGACACTAAGGTGAACTCGTAATAGTTCAAAAGCGTATCGATTGACGTGGTGAAGCTGTCATTCGTAAAAAATGACAACTAAAGCTCATAAAACAGACATTAGAAGTGTACTGGACCTCTTGAATCGATCACATATTCATAATCAAATATCGTATTATTATTATAAAACGCCCTGGATATATATGCCATTATCCTAGCTATCAATGAATAAAATGTGTATTAGGAATTATTGGTAAACACCACAACAAATATATAACTCCGCTTGTAGACCCTTCGGGGCTACTGCAGGTCCGAAGCCCGGTCTAAGGAGGAGGGTTGAGATGTGGGTTGGCGACCCCATCCCAGAAAAACCTAATTTGCCAAAAAACGTTAACAAGTAATAATAATAATAATTCAAACCATATAAATTCTGCTCTGGGAGTTAGGTCATCATTTAGAAGAATTATGACGTCACATGATGAAAGCCGAGTTCCTTCGGAAGCCATGAGGCCGACGCACATTCTGACAACAGGACCCTTCTCCGAAACGAGCATACAAGATCCGAGTAAAATAAACGATTCGATTTCACCTTGTGCAGAGAGAGACACAACACGGTTTACACTTTGTGTTTCTGGTAGCCCTGATGCTGCTTCCCGTGTCCTCGCCGGCGTAGGTATAGCATTACGTCCTACGGCAGAACTAGCTCTCTTGGGCTGAATCCCAGTAGATAGTCGCTTATGCGCTGTCCGACATTAACCTCATAAAAGCTCTCTACTCGAACACTACAGCTCGAGTGAAAGCTTATGGCGAAATGTCACCGGAATTCTTCACTTTAAGTGGTGTCCGTCAGGGATTTCCACTCTCTCCATTCTTATTTAATTTTGTTATAGAAATGGTTCTAGATATAACATTATCTTCATCTAAATTTTCAGGAGTAGACCTTCTACCAGGAGACAGACTTACTGACTTCGAATATGCCGATGACATAGTCCTGTTTGGTGAAGACGCTGACAAAATGTTGAGTCTTCGAACCACCCTAAGCAACAATGCAACCATGTTTGCGATGCGGTTCTCCCCCTAGAAATGCAAAATGTTGTTTGAAGATTGGCCTAAGTCGGCAACTGAATTGGTGATCGGCAGTGAAGCAGTTGAGCGTGTCGACCTCTCCACTTAACTCGGGAATCTTATCAGTGCTGATGGCCTGGTGACTGATGAAATCTCAGCACCGATACAGAATGCTCGATTGGCTTTTGCCAACTTGCGCCACTTATATCCGTCTTCCGAATAAAAGACGAATGTGCTGTGCATCAGTTCGCTCCGTCCTACTTTATGGGTATGAAACATGGCCAGTCAGAGTAGAAGATAATCGTAGGTTGCTTGTTTTCGATCGTAGATGTCTCTCAAGTATCGTGTATCGTGGGACAACCGAGTAAGCAATGCAGTTGTTAAGAAACGGGTACTAGATAAGGATGGCAGATCAATAAATGAAGTAGTGAAACTTCATCAGTTGAGGTGGTTGGGACATGTGTTGCGGATGCCCAACCATCAACTGCCTCGCCGACCTAAGTTTTGCAGTGTAGGAATAGGTTGGACGAAAGCTAGGGGCGGCCAAACCAAAACATAGCAGAAATCCATGAATTCACTAACAAGCGAATTGAGTCATGTTGGCAGATGTCGCCTACCTGTTTGGGGCCCGCGAGATTATACTAATGGATGGTTATAGAACATGAACATAATATGTGAATAATGATGTGACTGTTTAATAAACTGACTCAATCCTATTAGTTGAATCGCGTCTAGTTGCGTGAATAATTCGAGTGCTTTATAGGTAGAAACTTTTTTATATTCCTTTGTTTAATTACCTATCTATCAAATTGTGTGTCAATCAAACTTCCTTATTATATTGATTTATAAACACATGAGTTACGCTAATCAATTGACACTTTAGGCAGTTTGAATTCATTCCGATAAAACTTAGATTGGATTAGTTTAATTCAGTCCAGCTTTTTTGCACTGTAATACAGTTACTGGATATTCTGTTACTAATGTAAACTTTATTCTAATGCGATTTCTGCTGATTCTATTTTCAATCTCGATGAAAATTAAATCCTCAGTTAAAAAAGTCTAATCCTGGTGCTAGTCCAACACTAAAGACACTTCAGTCCAGTTGTATCCATGCAATCGCGTCTGAGGGATTCTAGGGTGGCCTTGGGGGTCCAAACGATTTTGATCGTCAGGAATTAAGAACAATAATTTCAGTTAGGACTTAGAATAAAAGACCAGAGTTCTGGTTCACATCAATAAATGACACCAATTATAAAGCCAAATTGTTATTTAACCAGATCAATAAACGAATTTTGCGTCCAGATGTCCAGGAATTGACATCTTTCAATTGATTAATTCGTCCATAAAGCATGGTTGTGTAGCGGTAAAGAAACTCCCAAAATAAACAGTTCTGTAAGTCCTCTACTATGATTCTACTCTCATTATTTTTAGCGTACACACTCAGGTAAAAACGCTTGGTCACGCATTCAAACCAGATTACAGTTGGATAACCCATGAAATGCATCTCCTCACACCAACTGACAAACCTAGTTCACTCATCCTACGAAATCTTAACCATCGTTCATATAAACCTTCAATAATTTTTGTTCCTGACTTCTGGTTTCACTTGGCTTTTGCTATTGTCGATCTGAATGGTGTTACGGACAAAAGCCTTGTCCAACTCTGAATATTCATCATATATTCAGTCATTTTATCTCATAACTAAATATCAGTGTTGTTGTATCGCCAATTCCAAACTTTTGAAGCGAACCCGAAAAAGATAAGTGTTTGCCTATATCACTTACTATTTTTATAATGTGTTACAGGATTTTGAAGATCATTCGCAGGAAGTTAACGTAAAAGCGTATAAGACCGTACGACATAAAACCAGCTAGGTTTTTCTAGATGATGAAACCATCTTCCTCCAGATGAAAATCATTACATGATGACTAAAACAACAACTAGATACAGATCAGCAGAATGTGCCTTTACAAAAACTTGGGAATATTTAAAAGCACTTTTATGTAACTTACAGACACAAAATTACGGGAAACGGATCTTCCTTTTTCCATATCACCCGTGTATTTTTTGTGAGTGGGTGGAATATGTAGAGATGATGCTGTTCCGTTAATACATTTTCTAGCCAAGTAAGAACGTGGGTTTGCACAATCAGATAATCGTACACTCCTAACTCCAGAACATTCTTTCCGTGTTATAAGCTTTGAGCTGTGGTCGTCACTATGTCGTATTCTTCTTTGCTGTGTTTCGCAAGAAATTTTGCGATTAGGATGTGTCCCATGACTCTAATAGTGATCACTTGCTTTATAATTACCTGAGAAATGATGGATATTCATTACTGTCATCAGAAAAGGAATAGTCACTTTGACCAGAATAGTTATCTAAAGTTAGTTGTGCAAGTGACTCTGTACTAAGGCTCTCAGAAAGACTAGACAATTCATCAGAAGATATAAACCAATAACTCCGATCAGGAAACGATTTTCCCTCCAATAAACCTGAATATCTCATATCGACAAACAGTTTGAAATCGTGCAGCTTTATGTACACATTCGTTTCCAATATCCAATATCCAATATCTTTCTAACGAGCGAGTACATACCAATTGATTTCTTTGCTCTCGAATCGTTTTCTTTTGGTACGGCTCCAGGTGTTCGGTAATGTCAAATGAATGGGCGTCCAGCCACTCGACTGTCCAATGCAAGTCATTCGGCAGTGGTGCGTGAGTTTGTATATCCCGTGACTTGAATGAATATGCTTTTTTCAGGAAAGTAGGGTTTCTGGAAACCAGCAGAAATCACGTTGTCAGGCCAGAGACCAGTTAGTTGCAATGTGGAGAATAATAAGGAGAAAATTCTAATGCAAATTAAGACGAAGACTTCAGAACTAAGTAAATAAATGGATAATTTAGTTTATTAATTGGTAGTGAAAACTGTGTAAGGGGACCGAAGTGTAAGCAAGGGAGAGGAAACAGAGAAAGCAAGCCAGATAAAGTTAGTTAGTCATCTGGAGAGATGGCAATGATAACAACTAGCAGGTCTGAAGATATGCATCGTTAACAGCTTGTCCAAGAGGGAGATGATAATCTGTATGCGAGTACGTGTTTATCAGGTCTCTTCCCAAAGCTTTCCACTGAGGGCGCTGTGGTCACCTCGGCTGAGAGAGAATTCCAAGTTGCAACGACTCTTAATGAGGAAAAGTGTGCACGAACCTGATTACTGGCTCTTTGACGCGCAATTTTTCCAGGATTGCCTCGAGGGGAATGGTGGTGATGCATCGGTAAGATGCTCACGTTGGGATGATTTGGCGCGCCGAATATACTGAACGCCATAACCAGATCATCTCTGATTCGCCTTTAACTCAGGTGGATTAATCCCAAGTGCTGTACTCTTTCTTCGTAAGTTTTATCTTTCAACCCTATCACCGATTTTTTGCTCGTCTATGCACTAGATCCAAGAGTTTTATGTCTCTTTTAAGGTGCGACGACATTGTGAAACTCCAGGTATGATCGCGCGTATGTCTTATATAACGTTGAGAATAATTGTGGGGTGAAAGCACCAAGTCGACTTCGCATAAAGTGAAAAGTAGCATTTGCCTTGTCTGCGTCCCCTATATAATTCAGGCTTGTGTGGAGGATTTCTGTGGTTATTAAACCGAGATCGCGCTTTGGGGAGACATTATGGAGTGGGTGCAAATTGTTTGCGTCATGTAGGGCAGAATATACATGACGTGACACTTCGGCTGGTTTAATTTTGAACCGTGTATTAGTACCCATTCCTCAATAGATGTAGGTCCTTTTGAAGCTCAGTCGAATCATCTACGCTTCTAATGGACCTCCAGATCTTTGCATTGTCTGCATAGATCAATGCTGGTGAGCTAAATGTGCCTAACAGGTCGCTAATAAATATCAGGAAGAGAAGTGGATCCAAGATGTTCCCATGTGAAATTCCCGATGTGGATACTCACCAGCTCACGTGCACTCTATTTACCTTGGCACGAAACTTTGTATTCTCAAGGTAGTTTCTGAGCAAAGATCGGACAGGGTCAGTGAAGCCCATTTCCTCAATCTTTGCAATTAGGCGTGCGTGGGGTACTGTGTCAAAGGCTTTTGCAAAGTCTCGAAATATTACGTGCACCGGTATTTTACGGTCCAAACAGGATGTCCAACTGTCCCATGCAATGAGGAGATTAGATGCACACAACCTGCCTTTCCGAAACCCGTGTTGAGCTTCATGTGGTATTTTATTCTTATCTATGTACTCTCTCATTTGTTTGCTCAACAGCACTTCCATCAGGTTTGATAGTACTTGCAGTAATGAAACTGGTCTGTAACAGGCTGGGTCCTCAATATCTGCTCCTTTAATGATTTGAGAGAGAGAGTAGCTTGTTTCCATCCAGCTGGGAGTTGGTGTGACTCCACTGAATGCCTGAACAGGTCACATATCGGTGAAGAGAGGTCTTCCGCACATTGTTTCAAGACTATGGGGCGAATGTTGTCACAACCTGGTGACTTTACTGGGTGTAAGGATTTTAGTTTTCTTAGTACTAAGTTAGGAGTAATACGAATATTCCCTAAGCTGCTAGCTGGCACTGGGTTGGCGTAGCACTCTAAACAGGTGGATTTCTGGTTTAACTGATCGGTGTAGTTTGAGTTGAAGGTCTCAGCTATCTCTAGGTTGGCGCGGTCTTCTCCATTCGGACCTTCGAGAGAACACACACTCTGGTTCGCAGGTTTTATTTCTGCCATAAACCTAAACAGATGTTTCGGGTTTGCCTGTATTTGGACAGCTAGCTTCATCTAAAAGGATCCCCTATCTCTTCGAAATTTGGTATTGCATCTGTTTCTCAATGCCAAGTAAGAACTTCGATCAGAATCCTTCAAGCAGACCATGCACTTGTGCCACGCTCTCCTCTTCATCTTTGGCAAGCCATCAGTGCCGTGCCTAACCGATGTTCTTTTATATTCGGGTGTGTGGTGTGACTGAGGTGGGTTGCGAAAGACAACATTCTGGATGATGTCTCTCACTGTTTGCCAGGTTCTCTTTCATGCATGTGTAGTTAGCCCTAGTGTAGCAAAGATAGGGCTCGTTTTCGTCCGGTCCAGGTGTTTTGTTTTTGACTATGTTGAACAAGGCTGTGCCATGGTCACGACTTTCTACTGGTGTATGGACGTGAACAAGGAATCGGTCATTTGTTAACAGATAATCCAGGTTTGAGGATTTTCCCACCTTAGTCCATCTATTAGCACTGCATGCATGCTCAGTAAGCCCAGAGCTTCTAATGGCTGTGCCGAGTTGTCTTTAGAACCAACCAGTGGCTGTTTATATTTAAAGCCACATAGCCTACTGATTGGTTTGCCATATCGCTTCGGAAGAGTTTCATGCCTTGCAAGCTCACCTCGTCGTCTGCAATGTCGGGCGATAGCATGTTTCAGTTAGGATTATGATCTTCAGATCCATATGAGAGCACATATCCTTGATTTCTAACAGCTTACCCCTCAGCCTTCTTACGTTGCTATGGAAGCACTTGATGGTTTGTCTCATCGCCTGGTACACTTCTGCCGCAACAGCCGTCGTTGAATTTTCAAGCAAGTTGTCTCAACCGAGTTGGACAGTTCTGTGTGAGTTTATTATGGCCTCCCTGCTGCATCTTCTCTGTAGTTCGAACCGGTATTCACACTCCCTGTGGTTACTAGACGGAGTTCATTCTCTAAAGAAACATTTGGGAGTGAATTTCCATAGAGGACGTCAGCTGCTTTTATCACATAGGGTAGAATGTTCATGACATGCCATTCGACTAGTTAAATTTTATCCACCTTTCCACTGCCCTTTCCTCGACCGTTGTGAAGATTTTTTGAGGCAAAATTTGGTCCTCCTTGCTCCTTATTAACTTCCAGATCATTGAACCACCTGCATAGATTAATTTCTCTGAACTAATTTTATCCGAAAAGTCATTAATAAATATCAAGAAGAGGAGTGGATCTAAGACGATCCCTTGTGATACTCTTGATGTTGAGACTCGTCAACTCACAATCACCCTATTTACCGTGGTACAAAACCTTCTGTTCTCATGGTAGTTTCTTAGTCAAATGTGTCATTGAAGTCCATCTTCACAAACTTCACAACTAGGAGTACGTGAGGTACTGTGTTAAAAGATTTAGCAAAGTCTTGGAATATTGAATGAGCCAGTATTTTTTGGTTCCAACATGTTGTCTGGCCGTCCTATTCTATGAGGATGTTCGATGATCAGGGCCTGTCTTTCCGAAATGTCTGTTGGACTTCAAGAAGGATATTACTTCCGTACATTTACTGACTCGCTCGTTCACTCACTATTCCTCTCATGACCTTCAGTAGCACAGTTAATAATGCTACTGGCCTGCAGCGAGATAAATCTTTCCTCTTTTCTGCATTGAAAATTGTTAAGAGAATAGCTTGTTTACATTCTGCTAGAATTAAGTATAACCCTAGCGAACGCTTGAATAGTCCACATACCGGTAAACTGACTGTATCACACACTTTCATGAGTGTAAGGAGAGTGTTGTTGCATCCTAGTGACATGCCTTGGTGCAGGGATTTCAGTTTCCTCAGTACCAACTCGGGAGTAAGTTGGATATTCCACAGAACATCGGTTGGCTCTGGAGTCAGTTGGAGCTCTCGGCTTGTAGCCAACTGATTTAGCTGGTTGGTGAATTTGGCATTACGATCTCGACCAACTCTAAGTTGGTAAGATCGTTGCTCTTTAGACTTTTGAGAGCACAAACACTCTCACTTGTAGGTTTTCTTTGAGTCATGAACCGGAACAGATATTTTAGGTTCGCCTGCGCTTTAACAGCCAGCTTCTACAAGAAGTGTCTTCTACTGCTTCGAACTTTGGCACTGCATTTACTTCTCGATTCCAAGTAAAAACCACGATTGGAATCCTTCAGTGAGACATTCTTATTGTGTCAGGCCCCCGTTTCCTCCAGCAGCTAGCTCTCAGTTGCTCGCTTAACCCATGTGTCATGTCTTGGAAGCTCATTTCACTGACTGCAATGTCAGAGAAAGCCGTGTTTTAGTTACGATTATCATCTTAAGATCCTCCTGAGAGCATATATTTCTGATCCAAGTAACCCCTCAGTCAATCTATGTTGCTATAGATCACATGATGGTTTGTATCATAACCTTGTGAACCTTTGAAGCACAACCGTTGTCGGACTTTTAAGAAATTGTTCAAACCACGTTCAGAAGAAATTGGTCACTTGCTTCGTGTATTCATTTGGAGAGACCGTGGTCTTCTCGTCTTGTACTGTGAGGTCAACGGGCATTAGAGTTTGCTTCATCTAGCTTCCCTTTTGTTGTCGCATTTATCTGGTTTGGTTTCCACAAGATCTGCTGTTATTAGAGGGATTGATTTTTGTTGTGTTGACCTTGAAGAGCTTCATTTAGGTCCTCCCGGTTTATAAGATTCAAGATCATTAGACGTGGAGACTTATTAGTTGTGAGGCGTAACGGACGAGAGAGTCGAGAAATGCT